CAAGCGGCGTGTGCGGTACCAGTTGACTATATTGGGCAATCGGGTTAGCTAGAGGATTTCGCTATGCGAATGTTGGTTAGGAGCATAACGTACGGGTAGGATGGATGCCGTGGTTAGAGTATTGCTTGACGTAGTAGTCTAGTTCCTGATTCGCTGTCAGTACACCATCGCTTGAGGAAAAACAGCATCCACGCCTTTCTCTCTGAAACAAGACAATGACGACAGTTGGTGACCATGACCCGTAGTCCAGGTCACACTCGTGTCGAGCAAACAAAAAAGGGGCCGATCTTCTGGATGTCGTGCCGGCAATCCTGCACCAGATACCCAGACGGGTAACAATGGCTGCCGAGCACGTCTCGCTCGTGACCCATTATCAGTGCCTCGAAAGAGAAGCTATCTTTGCCTTTCTCCCGGTTTCCCCGACTTTTAACCTAGGAAGAAGAAGAAAAGGGGTCGCCTCTCGACACGCGTCCCAGCATAAAGAGATCAACAACGTACCTTTCCCTTCAGGAGCACGCCCTCTCCGACCTTTGCCAAGTTCTCAGATAGCACACCCTTGGTAGGGTTGAAGACAACTTCGCCGTTTGGTCCCTTGGCGCCATACATGCCCTTTAGGAACTGTCTGATAGTTTCCTCATCTTTGATCACCTTCTCCACCTCACCAGAGGCAAGATGCATCTGATATGCGAACTGGGGTACAGGCCCCTTGACAATGTCTTCAATGGGAAAGTATTTTTCAGACGGCGCAGTATACGGCGTGCAGATTGAAAAGACGTGAGTGATCAGCTCGGGATACCTAGATGTGTCTGTTAAAGAAAAGTTCTTATCGCGATTGGAGAGTCGGCTATGGAAATTTACCATTGAGCAGCACGCCAAACGACGGCACCTCCCCTATTCCCGGTATCAGTATATTGATTACTCGTCTCGAGCAGAATCGTCGATGCGACGCTGTAAAACTCACCAATCATGACCTCCTAGCACAATTTGCGGCGCCTCGACTTCCTTGGCCAGCGCAGCAATGTCATCTGACGCCCTCTTCATGCCGTATAGATTGAGCGGGTTGGGGGGGACTTGCGGAGCAGCCTATACGCAACAAGATCAGCGTTTTTCGCCTTTCACGAAGAGTATCTTCCGGGGAAGAAAGAGCAAGAGAAGTATGGAAAACTCACCGTTCCACCGTATCCCATCATATTCGGTGCCACGACGCGGAATCCCAAATCCAACAGAAGCGGGATCTGGTATCGCCATCCCATGGCTAGATCGGGCCATCCATGAATCTAGGGTTTGCTGCGTTAGTCGAGCTATTCGGAGTATATAGTGAGTCCGTCTCTCTCTCTTTCTCTCTCTGCAATAACCATCCCAAAGCCACATTCTCCTTTTCTCTTTCTTTTCTTCATATAACCCATGGTTACTCCGGCTATAACAGAAAAAGAAGACATACCAGAAAAACAGTCTTCTTCCACTCCCCCGACTTGGGCACACCATACAAATACTCGTACGTCTGCCCATTCAGCGTCGCCTTCTTGACCTCGATGCGCGAGTCAGACTCTGGGTTGATGGGTTCGATGTTCGCCATCTTTCTTGTCGTCTTCTCACTTGGCTCCCAAAAAAGAAGCTATAGTCACACTAGGAAAAAAGATCACTCGTCTGTTCCCAAATACAAAGATGAAGGACGGAAGATGTTCAAGGTAAATGTTTGGGTTGTTTGGGTCAAAAAAGAGAAAGAGCAGTAGTTGATATGCTTTCTCTCTCGGAGCCACTCAAAGGAGAAGTTCGTACGGTAGCTTGCTTTCGTACGAGGTGTGATGCAAAAAAAGCGGATATGCCGAGGCAAAGTACGTACCAAAGACGGAGTGGGGTCCGCGTCACATCTAGTACGATAGCCATCACTGTCGGGCCTATTTGTGTGGATGTCTTGTTTTCTTTGGTTTGGGCACATCATGCTACGTATCGCGACTCATTTTGCAATGTTGAGTTTATATAGCTAGCAATTAGAAAGTATACTGGGTGTTTTAAGTAAACATGGCAAGGAGGAGTCAAGGGGTTCGAGTTGAATTGTTGGATTATATGTATTTTTCTCTAATAGGTTGCGTCCTTGCATGCGTATGAAGCCAGAATCTAGGCTCGCAACCTGCAGCTTTATGCGATAGTACAGCTGGACCAAGACAGACGAAAGTTTGTAACTTGATTGTCTGTCGCTCTTCTACCGGGACACACCCACGCTTGGTGTGGTAGTCAGCATGCAGTGTACATCCTTTCAACTCAGCATATTGAGCAACATGTAGTTTAAGTACTGACTTGTCGTGCATAATGACTTATCACCATGCTGCATCAGATTAGGCTGTATGATGTAGTATGACATCACAACAGCGAATGTAGTAACAAGAATCCCCAATTAGGATATTGTTGCCTTCTTGGGTTCTGCTCGAAAGCATCATCGCACCATTGCTCCACGTCTTTACATTGAGGTATGAATCGGATAGGACCTAGAGGCTGAAACAAGTTCTAGTAAGGAAGATGATCGGCGCGTGGAAAGACGAGTGTCAGAAGAGATCGAAGGTATTGTGTCCAAACGTATATCCACGAGAAAGATATGTGGTTAGTGAATAGTGGATGTCAAAAAGAAGGAAGCTCCCGGCGGCACTCAGTAGATGACAGTGTCCTCGGCAGCCTCCTCTACGACATCTTCTCCATTCTCATCTTCATCATCTTTGGTAGGCTCCTCGGGGACAATGTCACGACTTGCATCCCTGCCATCCTGCGTATCCTCGGTGGCGTGTTCATCCCTTACTTCCATGGTGGTGTTGGGATTATCAGAATGTCGACGGTCTATTTCCATGTCTTCAGGCGGAGCAGTGCTGTCATTAGTGGCACCATTGGCTGTGGATGTTGTGTGAGGTGCATCTGTATCATGGCTCTTACCAGTCTGGGAATCTGTTGCATGTCGGTTCATTTCGTCGGCAGTGTCCCGCTTCCGCTGATTATCCGCGTGTTGGCGAGCCTCGTATTCAGCCACCTCATGTCTGATGATGTCTTTGGCCTCGGCTATTTGGTCTTGTATGCGGTCGTCTTCGTCGGGGCTGGTTTCCCAGGGCTTATAGTACTGGACCGGGAATTAGCTTTCGGGAATGGGCAACTGGCTTATGCGACAACGTACGAGACGTGGCTCTGTCTTGGTCTGGAGGAAGTGGGCCATACTGAGGAGGTTGTCATGACGGATGCGCATCTGAAAATGGTAAGCCCTTGTTGAACAGAGTGTCATTTTTTGCCGCGTCTTACTGATTCCCTCTCGAAGCGCTTCTGTTCTATCCATCGCTGCTCTTTTCGCCTTGCTGCGCGCTCAGCCCTCCTCTGTTCGCTCTCGTGGTCTTCCTGCTTGCGTTGGGCCAACTGTCTCTGCTCGATTTCGAAGCGGCGTTTTTGTGCAGTAGTAGCAGTGTTCTGTGAGAGCGCTCCCAGGACGGCGCCGAACAGCCTGCGCTCTCGTCCCCTCTCGCGGCGCACTGGGGCAGGCTTGGTGTCTCTAGAGCCGGAATCACGTCTATCGTTGTCGCCGGATGTATCGTCAGCTTCGATTCGTGGTCGCTTTGCCGGGTCGTCTGAAAATGACTCCTGGCGTCTTTTCTGGCTGTATACGGGCGAGGCTGGCGCTGAGAGTTCGTCAGGAACGACTACGGCGGACGCAATAGAAGCGTCCATTGTTACATGGACCCCAACTAGGCAGCCTTCTATAGTTATGATGTGCTATATGTCCTGCAATGAAGCCAGCATGTCACGCGTCGTAGAAAAGAAAGGATGAGTGAGACGAGGCACATCTAACGCGACACGAGCTTCGGCGCAGAGCAGGCGTTCATCTCCACGGGCGGCGCTTGGCTTACGCTAGCAGCGGACCCCCGAAGCTCGACTTTCACTTCTACAACTTTCTCTCTCGCGCCTCCCACTACAACATACGCCACTTGATAAAGAGAGACATAACACAGCGATCTTACAAGTCTAAACACCTCTTGCAAAAACTCCATCTGAACACGCAAACACTATACTAAGAACCAACCCACCATGTCTCGCCATCATCCGTAAGTCCAACCCACACCCTCTCCCTCTCTTCTCTCCCCCACATAAACTAACAGCTCTCCTCACTCAGGGATCTCGTAATGTGCCGCAAGCAATCCGGCATATCCATCGGCCGCCTCTGCGACAAATGCGACGGCAAGTGCCCCGTCTGCGACTCGTACGTGCGCCCCACGACGCTCGCCCGCATCTGCGACGAATGCTCCTTCGGCAACTACCAAAACAAATGCGTCGTCTGCGGTGGCGAGGGCATTTCCGACGCTTTCTATTGCTTTGAGTGTACACGCCTCGAGAAGGATAGAGATGGGTGTCCCAAGATTATTAATCTAGGAAGTAGTAGGACGGATCTGTTTTACCAGAAGAAGAATTTTAGAAATCATTGATGGGGTGTTTGGGGGATATCAGTGTGAGTGGAGTGGAATCGTTGCCGGGTGCGTTATGCGCTGGTAGGGGAAGAGCAGAGGAAGAGCACAGAAAAGCGGACATTACGGTTGGATACGAAGGCGTTTTAGGAGTCCAAGATACCTCGAGATTTTTCTTAACGGTACCTATGCTATTTTTCTTCTTGATTGAAAGACTTTGGTACTGACAAGTTCATAAAATCTTTCTTTGGTTCATTCAAAGTTGCGAAGACACTAGTGCAAGAACGACATACCTTTATATCAATAATATGACATGGCTTCAGCATCTTTAGGAAAAGTGGACAACGTAAAAATGAATAGTTCTATTCAAGTGGCCCCTGCATCTATCTAGCAGAGCTTGGGTATCATGTTCGCAGCTCCAATGCGTGCCCCAAAAAATGACCAGAAAACGCCAAATCCAGACGCCGCTGGATGTAGACAAGCTTTTCAGCTGACAGTAATACTTAGAAATACGGTTTGCCTCCCAGATACCTCCTACGCGTACCAATCCTAGCGGCCCTCCTCGTCATCTCATTGCCCGTTCATACCTGAATTACTAAACTTACGCTTCTTGGCCTCGCGCTCGCCCGCATCCTGCGACGGCCGGTACTGATCGAGCTTACCCTGCATACGATACGTCTCACGCTTGATATTTTCCGCGTTGGCCAAGAGGTCCATCTCCGTGACAGGCGCTTCAATACTCTCCAATACGCTGTTGACCGTGCTGATGTGATTGGCGTCTTTCTTGTCGTCGCGCCAGCGGGGCGTGCCGTCTGCTTCTTGCTTGTATTTCCACTGCCCATTGTCTGTGCGATAACACTCAATTATGCGGCCGTCTAGACGCTGGTTGAGGGATTTGAGCGTTTCCCACTCGGTTGGGGTGAGGGAAATCTGGGCAAATACTTGGTACTTGTTTTGGTTGTGCTGTACAAGAAGTTCGATGGGATGCGGCATTGCATCGTAGTCGGGAATGAGGCCTTCTTCGCCGTCTTCGGGGTCAATGAGGGGGAACTCGCCGAGGCGGAGCTTGAAGTCGATTGTGTTCTCGTGCGGTGGCTTCCACTTGAGAATGTGTCGATCTGTGCCAAACTGATATGGTGTGGATACGCAGGTGAAGATCAGGCCATCGTTGCCATGACGGAGGTTCGGCAGTATGTTGCTGAACATATCCTCAAGTTTATACGCTGCATAGGTCTTCTTGCCCTTGAGCGCAAATGGCTTGAGGTCATCCGGTCGGATGTTCTTGCCAAATGTCCTCGTCAGGTACATTTCGTACGGTTTGATGACCCAATCGTGCAACCGCCCTAACCGCTTGTCTAGTGTTCTCCCCGTGACATTCTGCTCGTTGACTGCCAAACAATCAAAGACGTAGAAATTTAACCGCGGCGCAGGCTCGTTTGGATACTGGTCATGCACTAGTTCGCCGTCCAGGATCGTACCGTACAGAAAGGGCTCGGGTTCGTTTGGATGCATGTAATGCGGTATTCGAAAGGGTGGTCGCACATCGTAGTAATTGTTCTTGCGGTCAATCAGAAAGGTCAAAGGCTCAAAGGCACCTGTTGGCCCCTCCTGCCAGTGGAGGAAGAGAAGACAGCGCAAGCCGTCCGTCTTCTCACACATGAAGTATTCGTTCCGCTGAAGCTCGGCAATATGTTCGCGTGCAAAGGATACGGGCTGGGCGCCTGGAAAGCGCACGTTGTCGCGTTCGAGAAGGTCCGCGACAGCTTGTTTGAGTGGTTGCGCTTCATGGTTGGGTATGAGGAAGCCTGGTATCTGTGGCGGGGGCGCATGTGACGGTCCCGTGGCCGGCATCTTGAAGAAGATATTATGCTTTCGTGATAATACGCGGGTTTGGGTATTGCGTGTGGGTTATTAAAAAGGTGAGAGTAAAGTTGTGGGGAATAAGCTGAACTGTGGTCGCGACTACTCCAACCATGAAACTACGCGCCAAGGTTTACCTACGTAGGTCCAGTTATGTAAGCCGAAATGGTTAGCCACGTTGCACCGTCAAGGCCTTGTCTATAGAAAAAAAATTACTAATATCTCAAAGAGTCAAAGATTTAATAGCTTATATCTTTTCAATTCGCAATTCTTTGGTCACGGTTTGACGGGTGGTTATTGAGGTCTCTGACTCGCGACTCAGGCACAGAACTTGGTATGGTCACATCTATGATGGTAGTAAGTGCAATCTACGTCTAAATTGGTAATGTTTGTAACGCTTTTGTAATCGTGTGCAATACCTACATCACATTCACAATTCGCTAAGGGGAACCCTTGGTGTGAGTTGCGATATCTTCTGCCCTCGTTTCGCGTTACACTTGTTGTCTTCGATACATTTTTCATATGACTGATGTCGAAATGCCCTGAAACAACGCCTATGAAAATTGAGACAAAAAACAACCCCGGATTTTCCCTATTAGCCATGTGACTATCCGCTTGTCTGTCAAGTTTTGGCCTGTCCTCATGCACTCATTTGGTCTCGTCCTACTTCCCGTTTCCTCAACGATGGCACCCGGGTGCAACTCAATGGAGTCCTTGTGAATGGTCGCGTAAAACGAAGGCAATGCGCAGTCTTGCTGTCGTGTCACTTGGTAGAGTGTTCGTGATAACGATGACACATTTACTCCGATTAGACGCCTGCCGAATTGTGTGCAGACATATTGCGCAATGATTGAGCTGGAGTGAAGAGGTACTATGTCCGTTCGTTGCCAGCCGCGGTTCGAAATGGTTTGCCGAATAATGACATAGACACATAGTCGGCCTAGCTACATATTCGTTCGTATATATTTCAGGCTTCCAGAGTGTCATCTTCAAAGCATATCCGCAAGAAACAGCAACCTCGAAACTCGTAGAGGTCAACTGGTTTATGATGCAGTATACTCTGGGGGTGGTACTGAGTCTGCGATGGGTGGTGCCATGTGCCTTGACCCAAACTCATGTATTGATGGCGTAGTTGCCAGTGGCTGAGCATCCCAGTTCACGTTGAGGTAGTGAGGTGGCTCCATAGGATCCACCTCCTGATACGCTGGCCTAGGCTCTAGGTCGTATACTGCAAAGCCATCCTCAAGTTCAGATAGATTTGCCGCCCGTGGCGCGGTAGTTAGGTAAACGGGTTGGGTACACACAATGCTAGTCCACTCTCGATCAGCACATTTGCCAGTGATTTCGATTTGTAACTCGTACTCCAAGTTCAGACCATAGGTTGTGAAGCTTGGTGTAAAATTGTGGCCCGTTAGCTTGACGTCTGCTATGTCTAGTAAGGAAAGCCCATCGTATAGCAGCCGTCCATTTTCCTTTTCGTACTTCTTGTCGCAAAGCATAATATGACACCTTTCTACATGCATGTGCTGTTTCTTTGGAGGACGGGCTGATGGATCACCGGGCGTGAATACGTTGAAGACAAAGTTCAACTGAACTTTGAGGCGGCGGATAAACAGATCAGGCGGTCTCGCAAGCGATTCGGAACGCTGGAGGTGCTGGATACTGATGACAACGGGAACTTGGGAGCCAACAACTAGGACACGAGCAGGAGTCGCGGATATACTGAATTTGGCATAGGGAATCTCGTCCAAGCTCTGGAACCCAAAGAGCAACTCTTTATCAGCCAGCTTCTCCTTGATCTTTTTAAGTTTTCCCGCCCTTTCCTCGTAGTCTTGGAATAGTTTGCGCGTGCGGATGAACTTTTGGTGACTACAGTGTTTGGGGAGCGTTGTGCCAAAGTTCGTATCTGGTTGGAGGAGTATGGGATGGAAGTCGGGTGGTGGTGGCGTGTACTTGAGTTCTTGGCGTACCCTCACAGGCAGACTATCCAGGTCGCTACTTTCCATGGTCACTTCAAGTTGATATACAATCTGCACATCTGTAGATGTTGCAGCACAACTGGGAGGTAGTGGAAATCCCGGAAAATGCTGAAAGCGCGGATGATTGAACGAATCCTCCGGATGGAGCCAATTTCTATCTGCGGGCGGCGGGAGGCTCACATGTTGCGGAAAGGTGAAGGAGAAGGGCAGTTCCGCCTTTCCGGGATTTGATGAGCTTGTGGGCAGGAGATCAAGGCGGGAGCTATTGCCCGTGGAAACTAACAGATCCTGCGATTGTCGACAAAGTTCAATGTAAGTCGGCTTGCCAGAAGAATGCGGGGTGACGGAGAAGCCTCTTAGAACAATGTTGATCCGCGGAGATCGTGCTTGGGAGATGAGAAGAAGCCCTCTCACGTGATCCCCAGCCGTGTAAGCCGGCGGCGAGTTGAACAGATGGATGTAGACGGGGTTGTCTCTGCGGTTGGCTCGTCTGCCAGCGAACGGCCCCTCAGGCCCCATGGTAGTGAGTGGGTGTTTTGTGTCGCTGAGGCGATTCAATGAAACAGTGGGAAAGACGCGTTATAAAGCAGCAGGTGACAGACGGAGAATGCATTGACGGACGGGGGATGCAATGACACCTTAACCCCCGGTCTCTTCCCCGGTCTCGGCGCCTGCATACCAAGCATCAGGGGTGTTCACGCATGAGCGCCAAAATGCCATGGTCGAGGCACTGCGCGTGAATGCCATGATTGGTACGTAGGTACCGAACCAAGTGTGTAACCGGGTACAGGTGACAGCGCAGCGATGGCAGGTGTGATGATTGGAGAAAACAACCCTCTTGACCGATGGAACGATGCTGCTTGATGGGGGATCATGTCGGAGGCGAGCATCTGTGTGAGGCGCATGGGAGAGAGATGCTTGCTATTGGGTCGTTCTGCCGGCCAGGGTGGTGCCGTCATCGATGTAGGGCGCGCGACTCGCGACTTCGCCAATTCCATCCAGGCAAAGACTGACTACCTTTGCACAGCACACACCCGCACATACACACATTGCCCACAATGGCCTCCAGCTACATGTGCTCAGCCTGCTCACGCGCCCTACGCAGGTCCTCTACACCTCTATTGCAGGTACACAGCCACAATCCGCCGTGCTGACAGCAATTAACTCTTTCTTGTAGCAATCGAACAAATTATCTCTCCGCCAAGCGCATCGAACTTTCTCCACAACCACGCCAACCCTCTACCATGTGTCACACGCCCAGTCGGCAGATGTCAGACCAGAAGCAATTAAGAAGCCGCATCCGAGCGTGGCATCAGGAGTAACTGGACTGGCTCAGAAGTTGCGTGAAAAGGCCCCGCTCATGACCGAGACCTACGTCGCATACGGCGCAACAAGAGACCTGATCAAGGAATGCACCAAGCCGGGCGAGTACAAAATACCGCAGGCTCTGCTGAAAGGGGGCGAGATCCCCGTCGACGACAATGGCGTGCACCTGGGAGAGGGCGAGGGTTGGTGGTATGACAGTAAGTCTAGATTGTGGCACAGGCACGCACTTGGCTCACTCCTACACAGCCCTCGGACTGAAGCCAACCTTCTCCAACTGGGCGCAAATCACCTTTATCCACATGTACATGCTGCAAGTCCGCTTCCGCATGTTTCCCCAAACACATGCTCCTGTGTGGATCCAACATCTCACCAACCATGCCTTTTACGCCGCCGAAGACCGTCTCGTAGTATGGCACAAGTTCAATGCCAATTCCCTGCGCCAAAAGTACCTCAAAGACATGTTTTCCCAATGGCGCGCAGTGCTCCTGTCATATGATGAGGGTCTGGTCAAGGGCGACGCCATGCTTGCCGCTGCCATTTGGAGAAATCTACTCGGTGCCAAAGAGGACGTGGACTTTGAGAAGCTGGCCCAGATTGTAGGATACATGCGGAGAGAACTGAAGAGGCTGGACAATGCCACTGATGACGATGTGGCGAATGGGCAGTGGAAGTTCCGCGGCAGTCCTGGAGACGAAGCAGGTCTCGTAAAATCACCAAGTAGGCTGATGGCGACCGAGACGGCCAAAGCTTGATGAAGTAATGGAAAGGAAACGACACCGAGTGTACTATATCTGTATCTACTACACGAGACACATGAGACCCCAAGGATTCTTCTTCTATTACAAGGTTACGACACAGATTAGTGTTTGAGACACTACAACTCACAAAATCTTCTCCCGTCATGTAAAAATTAAATGCAGAATATGTTGATTAGGAGACAAAGAGTACATATAACAGTCAGCATTGGTGTGTTCCGTTCACAATTTGAGCATGCTCACTCAGCAGCCATACCCCATCCGGTCATGTGCCGAATCTTGAGAGTACATGTTCGAGGTTCGGAAGGCATTACTCGTCGCTCCTTCTCCACCTGCACAAAAGAAAACACATGCAGCCTGCCATTGCTGCCCAAACACAACGACTGCCAGTCCGCGATTTGGAAGAAATAGAGTATGTGTGTCGGATACGATTGACCTAATAGCCAATGCGAACAGAAAGTGATTGGTCAATATACCAGACATTTTCCCATTCTCCCATATTCTGACACTGGAGCTCCAAAATATATTTACTTGTGGAGTTGACGTCATCTTTGCAGCGCGACTGCTCTATCCACCCTGACAAACCACCTATCCTACAACACATGACCTTGTATATCCACCAAACTCATCCTCATAATAATTATTGTACCCCGAGATCTGTGCCAGGAATGAAAGACCGCGCGGTTGGTGTGTTGCTTCTCCGTGACTGTCGACAAAGTGGAAGACTCGAGATCCAGTAACTGACTCATTAAAATTTCCTTCAAATATATTGTACCTCCATGTTCCGCCATTACAATTCTCAAAGCCATCGCTTTTTGCTGGGCCCGGTGCCAAAACTCAGAAGGAACTGGGATCGTTCTCTGACCTCGGTTGGCAACGCTTCAGCCCGGAACGATATCAATACGATCCGCAGGCTCCTCTGATACTGCAAGTTCGAAAGGAGCGGCATGCCTGGGGGGTGGTACGAGATATCGCAACCGGTCTTGTAGCATTTCTGGTACGCTGATCCTCGAGCATACGATATGCCCTTGCCCATCAACTGCGGTAATCTCGAGAGCGGCATTCTGTTCCGAGATGGAGATCGATATCCTCGATGCGTCGGCACTAGTCGCCCGCAGCTTAACAGCCCATGAAAGCAGACCAGTGGTTGAACTTGTCAGACCACCCATGGGCGCTGCACGAAGAGTCAACAATTTCATGTTGACTTCGTTATGGCCCTTGTCCACAATCACTACGAAACGGCCATTGCAGGATACCGCACCAGCAAGAACGCTTGATCCCACCACACTGTCTGGTAGTGGTTTTATCAGTTGCCGGAGGGATTGTGGGTTGGTTTCAAAAGTATCAATCGGTACGATGAAGGTTCGGGGGAGACTTGATCCTGGCTTGTGGTCCACCGTGCAGAGAATGTAAGACCTTCCCGTTGGTGAAATAATCAGAGTGGCTGTCGATATCTCATCGCGAAAAGCCTAGAAGAAGTCAGCCATGTACGGAATGCTTATAAAAATATCTTACTCGTTCGCTGCTGCTTGCGTTGCAGTCAACGTGCCAAATCGGGTCCAGACGCATAGTCGACTTGAAACTCAATTGTTTACTGATATTCCAACAGTATAAGTGGTTTCCTGTCGATAAAGCAAAAGCCATGAGGCCGTATACAGCATCGCTCCAAAGAGGCGAAAAGCCGACGACCTTGATAGCCCCGTTGTTCTGCGGACATGTCAATGTTGTGCAGTGGTTCTCGACATTCCAGCCTTGCGTGTAGATATACCTAAAGACCTTGACCCCGCTTGTCCCTTCCCCGCCCACCGCGATACTCGCAGTAGCTCCCCCTTCAACAGACGGAGCGCCCTTTTGCGAAATAGACACTGATCTTGGAGTCCAACATTCATTTTGATCAATACGCTGTTCCTTCACCAAAACGGGTACGTCGCCGCCATGTCGGCGGTACTCATCATAAACCAATAGGCGCCTGTGGGTGATTACAGCAAGCAAATCCTCCGACAAAGCAATATCTCGTATTTTCTCGTCTTTATGCGACATGGGAATGCTCAACTCGGCTGCGAGTGGAATCTCTCGACTCTGGTTCTCATTCCGCACGTTGTATAGCCGCACTTGCTTGGACGAACACACGGCGACCCAGCCTAACGGCGAGACTGATGTTGCAACATCATACGGTTTGGATAGAAACCTCTGGCCAGGTCTGTGCAAGCGGGTTTCGGCATGCGAAGCAAATGAGGCTGGAAACAAGGGGAAATTCTCCACGGCTAAAGAAAAACGGCGCATTGAGGGGTGCGAAGAACTGCTTGAAATCGACATCATCGACGAGCACGAAACAAGGATGCCATGAGAACGGAGAGGAGTTGTAGAGAGAATGGCCTACGGAGGCCGGTGGGCCTTGGTTGTGAAGCAGCGGAACCGCGAACGCCTGGAAACGGACGGTCAGCCCGTGTTCTGGGGTCAGATACGGCGGCAGTTGTTATCAGTTGTGATTACTACTAGATCCAACTGGCATCGCGCATGCGCCTCAGCCCACGAACTCAACGTATGAACCATCGGCTACGTGGCCCAGACCACAGGGGCTTTTGACGTTTAAGATGTATCCAATTAGCAATTTCTAGCGGCGCTAGCTTGTATCTTCTGTCCAGAAGCGTACACCGGAAGGCCGCAGCAAGCGTGGCTGTGATACTTAAACGCACCCGCACGCCAGTCGTATTTGGCCGTGGCGTTTTTTAGTGCCATCTACCAACTTCACGTGTACAACCCGATGCAGCTGCGGTGATCTTACCCAGATTCCCATGATCCTGACCAATCATCATGAAGCCAAGTCGTGTGCCAATATACCGTTTCTATCCCGAGGTGTTCCTATTGATTGTGGCTTCAGCAGGCAGAAGCGAAGGCTGGCAAGACGGCACGCTGTGTAGTCTTGGTCTTTGGTCTTGAGGCGTGGGACCGGCGTACATCAAGTTGACACGCCCGGAAACCAGGCTGGCGGAAGGCTCAAAAAATTGGTCCAAAGTGCTGCCTTGACTGGTTGTGGCACACTGCTGCGGCATGCGTACTTGGGGTGTCTCACTTATAGTCCCACTCTCCACGGTCCGCCTAATCAACGTTGTAGCCTCACAGTTGCCCTGACCCACCAGAAAGCATGGACGAAGAAGAAAGGCCATTAGATCGATCACCATACTATGTCACACATTCTGAGCACCTCGATCGTGTCCTCAGCAGGCCTCAACTTGCAGGTAAGCCGGCCATGGTTCCAGAGAAACGGCATTTTGTAACGTCACAGGCATTGGCATTTCTGGCTGCATTGGCGGAGGCATCTTTATTACTTCTGGGGCCCTGATATCTACGACGGGATCGCTAGGAGCTGCTATCAGCTATGCCGTCGCGGGAGGAATCATCGCTTGCGTCATGTACACGCTCACAGAAATGGTAACATGTAGACCATTAACTGGAAGTCTCATCGACCTTCCTCACACTTTCTTGGATCCTGCATGCGGGTTTGCAGTTGCATTCATGTACGGGTATGTTTTTTATTCTCGCCATGCCAATCGAAAGCTGATGGGAAAAAAAGATTGGGTAAGATTTTCGCCATGGCTACACTTACAGCGCACTCGGCAGAGCTCACTGCTCTTTTGAAGAGCGATCCCAAACCACACTCTATAGGTGCAGAAACGGCCATAAACATTGCTTTCATTGCGTTGACAACTTTCTCCCATTGCCTTGGCGTCAAGGTTAGTTGAGATTTGTAAATGATAAGTTGAACTCGAGCTTACATTCCATCAGCTTTACGGCAAAATTGAACGAGTACGCTATACTCAACCCTATCTCTTGGAGCTGTGTCTAACATGATGTTTTCAGGTAGTCATGTGGTTCAAGATAAGCTTGCTTGTGCTTGTGTGCGTGATGATGATGGTGATCAACCTTGGAGGTATGCTATCAAGATTCATAATATTGCAGATGCTTTTCTGATATAATCTAGGTGGCGGTCCAAGGGAAGGAAAGTACTACGGAAGTGAGTGTCTGCCTCAATCAGTCACGTTACATACACTAACCAGCACTACAGACTATACAACCCATGCGTTTACTCCCGATTGGAAACCGATTGGACACAATAGTACGACTGCCGATCCTCTAGCACTAAGAGGCGTCTCAGATTATGCTTATGGAATTCCTGGGACTGGAGGTGTCCTATTTTCATTTATGTAAGTGTTGTGTCTTCGTGTTGCGCGGATTGAGTTAATGATTGGTAAAGCACTTCAATCACACTTGCCATGTTCTCTTGCTTCGGAACAGATCTCGTCGCAATGACTGCAGGAGAGGCGAAGAACCCCTGGAAGGATGTGCCAATCACGATGTCCTTTGTATACCTTGTTCCCCTCAGCATATATCCTTTTGCCATCTTCGCTGCTGGATCGAACGTCAACTACGCGAATCCGGATCTACCCAAGATATGGGCGAGAGGTGGAGGCGCTACGAAATCAGCCTTTGTCATTGCGGCCCAAGAATCCTCACTCCATGGACTGCCAAGGGCACTGAACGCGCTCTTCATAGTATCGGCATATACGACTGCAAATACCGACCTGTATGCAGCTTCGAGAAGCGTCTTCATGCTGTCACAACAATATCTGCCGCACAAAATCGCCAACATATTTGGTCGGACGAACAATGGCCATACTCCACTGGCGGCCATTCTGCTATGCTCAGCCCTGGGATTCATATCACTCATTGGCTTAACCGACAAATCGGGCTCACAACCACGTATTACGCTGTCTGAGCTCTACACAGGGACAGCAACATGCATCAACCTCTGCCTCTGTATAACCTTTTTGCGCTTCAAAGCCGGCCTTGACCGTCTAGCCAAGCGAAAGATTTTCGGCAGAAACCACCCACTGTACAAATCCCGACTCTTCAAGTCGCGCTGGCAGCCTCTGCCAGCCTACATTGGCATCGTCGGCAGCGCATGCGTAATCCTCTGGTCCGGCATCCCCCCCTTCGTCATCCTCGTCACAAAAAGCAACCTCAGATCGACCGAAAGCCTCAAATCAACAATCAGCCTCGCCTTCGACGTGCTAGGCGCCTACATTGGCCCCGTTCTCTTCGCCTCGCTCTACCTCTTCTACAAATACATCTACCCACGCACCTCGGCCGTTGACATGCGCAATCTCACCGTCGAAGACTACGTCCTCCAAGACCTCTCGTACATTGAGCTCGAAGGGCCCGAATCCGTCCCGCATATCCCGCGGCCCCGCTTCGACTCGTACGAGATGGACGGGCAGAACGATGGCGTTGCGAGTCCCGTAAATGCAATGTTCCAGGATCCGTTCAAGGAAGAGGGCACGTGGAATGTTAATGTTAGTCCGAATCCCGATTCGGATATGCAGGAGGAGATGGAGGCCGAGGCGGCGCGCAGGAATGAGAGAGCGAGGATTAGACAGATTTTAGAGCGCAGGCCAATGAGGATGGGGCGTGGGTTTTGGAGGGAGGTGTGGAGTTTTGTCAAGACGGATAAGGAGGAGTGAATGTTTTTTTTTCTCCTTCATCTACTAGCGAATGAAAGTCACGACATATTTCAATCTTCACAATCTTTCTCTTTTCTTCTTCTTCTTCTTCTTCTTCTCAGATTGTTCATATTTTGCTTTATCAAGTTTAGTTTCTCCGGAGAACGAAGGGGAGAGGGAAAAGCTTTCTTCCAGGGAAACTGCCTTGTTTTAATTTGGTGATACGGGGTAGACGAGATGAGCAGCGGCTTTGCATCGGAATGTGGAGTGGGTGCATGTATTGCAAGTAGCTGTGAGCGCGGCCGGTCGGGAAAAGTCGGGGATGGGGGTAACTTGCGGGACCATGTCCCATAATTGATTGCACCGACGAACAAAACTTTTGACATGTAATACTTGAATGTATTTGAAAGAAAAAAAATGAGAGAAAATGAGCAAGAAAGAGGGTCAATGCAGAGGATATACAGAGTTTGAATGTTTGTTGATGTTTGATATTTTATTCTGAAATATGGTACATAATTCGTAGCCTCCCCTATTTCTTCCAAGGAGTTTCTCTTTGACGCCAAATGCTATGACAAAAAAACGCTAGATGCTATGCTGAGTGACGAAAATGACGTCTGTCTCCTCCAATTCCACAGAGCACACGAGCCGGGGACAGCTTGAATGCTGTAAGGGCCGTTGCTCGTGGCCTGGTATGCAGTGTGGGGTCCATGGCGCGCAGCGCATGGATTTCCTTGTTCTCCCTCGTTCCCCTTCTTCGGATCCTGCCTGTGGCGTGCGTGTCCGTTGTTGCACGCGACACTGGTCGTTTCTGCTCGGCTAGTTTCTTACAACCTTCCCCCCCTTCAACGCCTCGCCTTCACTCATTGAACCTCGTAAATCTCCATGGCGCGCTGAAGATCCTCAATGCTGGTCTTATCGCCATAGGCCTCCTCGAGAATCTTGTTCCTGTCCTTGCGCGTAGTGAGCCTGGCTTCCAGACCGGCAATGGCGCGCTCCATGTCCTGCAGACTAGAGCGCTCGCCATAGGCATCCATGAGCATCTGGTTCTTTTGCTCCTGGGTCAGCTCTAGTGCAGAGTGGACCTTGCGGTTGGCATCATTGAGGGCGTTTGTAACACCAAAACCTATGTTAGCATTAGCATCACCAAGCGAAAGTGGCCGGCGAGGCTGCGACGATGATGCATCTCTGGGGAGATAGATCATACCGATGGCTACCATGGCCATGGTAGGGAGGTACCTGGGATTTTGTTAGTCTTTGCTGTATATAGGTGGTGGTGAACTGTGTAGTAGACGCACCATCTGGCGACCCTTCCGAGCTTGGGGACAACACTGGCGCCTGGGGCGGCTGCCATGTGTGCTGCTGTGGCATCTTGGAGGGAAATGGCAGTGCGAGCACGTGCCGAGGTGGTGAAGAGCCTCTGGCGGACGAGGGTCGAAGTGCGGAGGAGAAAAGACATGTTGTTGGCGGTTGTGTAGTAGTAGGAGTGGCGGAAAGTGAAATGGCCAGTGGGTTGTGCTCGAATAGGGTCGATGTGGGTTGACTTATATCCCGTTGGTGGTGGTGGTGATGATGATGGCTATGGGCTTGGAATGTGGATGTGGATGTGATGGCCAAGAGATGAGTGTATCGGCCGCGGTTTGGTTTCTGGTAGGGAGATGTTTGATTGATGCGTGGAAGGGTGTGTTCATGCGTGGTGATGCGTGATGTGTTCCGGTCAAGGGATTCCAAGGCGCGGACTATGCAGCCTGTATATACGGCGGCGCTGTGCGGGGAAATGCAGGTCGCAGGCGGGCTGTGCAGAAGTGTCTCTCCACGACCACCCTCGTGTCATGCCACGAATCACAACACTTGACATCACCGGGCTCCCTGACCCTGAGAGTAGCAGACGGCCAATCCGGGCCATTGTCGTCCCGTGTCTTCAAATCCGGGGACGGCTGACGTACCGTGTGCTGCTGGCCGGCGTGAACCCCTTCTCTCCCGGCCGCGCATCGAAGTCGACCCTCACTTGTCTCTTGCTACTACTTTCCGCTTGGCGCCCGTGACCCGTCTGGGATACGTTTCGGCTGTGAGGACGGCAGCGGCCGACACCCAATTGCACGTCAGCGGGGCGGGGGGTTACGTCCAGGTGGAGTTAGCCGTGTGCTGATGCTGGTTAGACGACCGTCTTTCGATTGTGGGGTGAGGCTGCCGGTCACGAGACTCGCCGATATCCCGCCATGCTGATGTCAGCCTGCATATCCACCACAACCGGTTCCTCGTCCGGCCAGACACCTCAGCGTCAACACCATGGTTTTGCTTCATGTCGCCCATCGTCATTGTCACCCGATGCAAATTTCTCCTGCAGGATATCTGACAGGTCCTCGACGATGACCGCATCAGCAGCACTCGTTTCTTCCATTGTACTACTCATACCCATCTACTTGAACCTCGGCACCCACATACTGATCAAAACGAAACTCAGAATGCTTGCGTGGCCAGTAGTCTCCGCATAACACACATCTAAGCTCTTGTCAGTACCAATATCAAAAAGATGTTGTATTCGAGGCCCCGGATTCTTCGCACGCACACGGACCAGACGAGGCGAATCTCTAGTACCCCAGACCACGGTAGCTTCAGTTAGCGGTTATCAAGATGCGCGGCTGTATATCATTGCATCCTGAAATTGAAATTACCAGGGATAATGAGACTACTAATAATCGATTGTGGATATTGTTCCTGGAGTAGCGAATGAGCCTCAAGCACCACAACAGCCGCCCCGGACTTTTGTGTCAAATAAATACCACAGTCGGCCCAGATGCCTTACGCCATGGAAGCAGTGACAAATGTTTCGTCAAACACGAAACATGCGCCTCGAAAATTCCAGACGACTAGGCAACACGCCGTAGCTGGTCGACAACAAAAGTATACATTTGAAACGCTCCCCGAAGCCATGAGTTCCGCACATACTTCGAGTTAAAGCTCAGCCCAGTAAAGACATGGTGGGATAATGCACATGCCGGTACATACCAACAACTCTAGGGTTGGCTTGGAAGAGATCCATCGGCTGTTGCTTGATATAATGGCCGCTCACCCACCATTAGATCTGCTCACCTTTCTACACACAGTATGTTGTGGTCCAAAATTTTCTAACATATGCCAGTTTGCTTGGCTGCTACATCCAGGCACCCAAGATTTTCTCTTAATACTGTATATCAAGCATACAGCCTAACAAAGACCTCAATCTGAACGCTCAACTCTACCCATCCGCCATACGACTCTCCTATCAAGAAATGATGCATATGGCACACATCCTTCTTCGTACTCGAAACACCCCAGACTACACAAGAGCCGCCGCCAAAGTAATTTATAACCCGCAAAATCAGCCCAAGCCCTCTTTCTACTGGATGCATCCTCGCAGTCGTCTTATCTGCTCTTATGGGTGATCAGTACCGCATAGATAGAGACACGCTACTTTCATGTCCGAGACTGCAAAAGTGCATCCTATTGATATCAAGATGTTGAGGGCAGGCTACGGACGTAGTGGCCTTTACAGAGAACTACTAGGCTGATTTTGTGTCGAGATACGAGACGCCATGTCGCAGGGTACTTGGGACTGCAGTGCTATGGAGACATTGTGGGGGTTCATCCTGGAGAACATAAGAGATGTGCCGTGAACTCTTCCCAAAACAAAGAGTGGCATGTTTGTTGCGACATTGTTGAGACAGCAGTGGATCTAAGGTAGCATTAGATTTAAAAAAATGACTAGGCTCACAGTCACCCTTTGCATATTGGTCTTGGCTGTGTAAGTAGCACGATGCTGAGAGGTGTAGATGGATAAATCGATGACATCATGTAACGTTTCATGCACCTCTTAGGCAACACAAAGACATACAAATGCTCTGGTGTTCTGATAGTCCTCTTCCTCTATCATGAGCGGAATGGTTTTGAGAAAAAAGGCAATTTGCTAATAACTTGTCGATCGAGAAAAAGAAAGTATAGGGAGACGCATCGGCAGTCGCAGACTTGCCTCAACCAGACCCACTGTATCCACCGAAAGCAACTGCCGTCTCTTTTGCATCCCAACCACAAAGTAGTCGGACGAATCAAATCCCATCTCACCCAACCAACAGAACAAACCAAGTCCTTTAGGCAGAAGAGCCGCAGGTGTTTGCCCGGCATTCAGCCTCCATTTCGGCCAAGCTTTGCCGTAAAGCTTGAGCGCGGATGGCGTTGCTTGGAGCGTCGTCTACAATAAGTCAAGTATCCGATGTGCGGCTGCCGACTTGAGAAGCTATGTGGTAGTTAACGACGCAGCCGTGGCGACAATAGCGCAAAATCTTTGTTTGGGGACCCCATGGGCCTGCATTTGACAAATGGGTCCTACCTCTGGGGTCTCCACTGAGGGGGTCTCTGCGAGAGTCTGCTTCCGAGGAAAATAACATGGGGAACGGAGAGTACATAGCCTGGAGACGCCACTGACGGATGCCAGCCGAAAGATTGCTTGCCAGTCTCTTGCTTTCTTCATTTCTACCGTATTTCCTGTGCGTGTACGTTACTGATAGTTAGGATGGAAAGCCAGCCAGTTGCGACGAATAAGGGCCTTGCTGCCGATAGCCCCAAGTACAGCGAAGACCTCGAGCATGCTGCTACTCATGGCACATATCTCGACAAGGAGGAAGCATCTCACCTCTCTGAAGAGCATCGCCAATACCTACTCCAGCGTCATGGCACACTTGATCTCGACCCTCTGCCTACCATGGGGACTGCTGACCCGTACAATTGGCCTCAGTGGAAGGCAAGTGATCCTCAGCTTTTCTTCACTAGCATTCCTTTTCTAACCAACAACCAGAAAATTATGAATGTCCTTTTCGTAGCTTTCCACGCCATGATGTGTGCATTCCCCGCATCTGCCATTATCCCAGCCTACGAGGAAATATCCCAGGACCTGGGTGTCAGTATCCAAAAAGCATCGTACCTTACTTCCCTACAAATTGCCATCTTAGGCGGTGGACCGTTATTCTGGCGACCTCTCTCAACACGATATGGTCGGCGACCCATCTTCATCATCTCACTGGTTGGAAGTCTAGTCTTCAACATTGGCTGTGCCAAAAGCCGAACCTACGCTGCAATGGCAACGTGCCGCGCGCTCCAATCTTTCTTCATTTGTCCACCCAACGCCATCGGCAGCGCCGTCGTAGTCGAAACTTTCTTCCGTAAAGAGCGAGCAAAATTCATGGGCATGTGGACCGTCATGATCACTCTGGGCATACCACTTGCACCCCTCATCTTCGGCTTCGTAACATACAACGCGGGCTACCGGTGGATCTACTGGATCCTCGCCATCATCAACGGCGTCCAACTCATCCTCTACTCCCTCTTTGGCCCCGAAACACGCTTCATGCGGCACGACAAGGCGCAGCACGCGCAATCCGGCCTCGCCGCCTACAAAGAAGTGTACCTAAAATTCCGCCGCATCGATCCCACGCCCATGAGCCTATACGAATTCATATCTCCCCTCCGCCTTTTTGCCTACCCCTGCATCGTCATCCCCGCCTGTGCATACGCCATGGTCTTCCTCTTCGCCTCCGTCCTCACCACCGTCGAAATCCCCCAACTCTTCATGGAAAAATTCCACCTAAATGCCCAGCAGCTCGGCCTCCAGTTCCTCGGCACCATAGTCGGGACCGCGCTCGGCGAGCAAATAGGAGGCCACTCCAGCGACCGCTGGATGCGCTGGCGAGCAAGCAAAACCGCGCCTTTACGACCTGCCCCCGAGTTCCGGCTCTGGCTCTCGTACATTGGGATTCTGTTGACTATCTGCGGCATCACTGTTTTCCTGGTGCGCATCGAGCAGGCGGCCCCACTGCAGTGGAACGTCACGCCCATTGTCGGTGCGGGTATAGCCGCGGCTGGGAACCAGATTGTGACCACGGTGCTGATGACGTATGCGGTCGATTGCTATCCCGAAGAGGCTGGTAGTATTGGCGTCTTCATCACCTTCGTGCGGCAGATGTGGGGCTTTTTGGGCCCGTTTTGGTTCCCGGATATGTTTGACAAGGTTGGTGTTGCGCAGAGTGCGGGTGTGGCGGCGGCGCTGTTGGTTGGGGCGAGTTTGGTGCCTGTTGTGGTTACGCATTGGAAGGGGTTTAGTAGCAGGGGAAGTATGGTGGAGAGAGGTTGAGATGGTAGACAGTAAAGGAAGACATAGTACTTGTTGTATTTACAATCTTTGCATACTGGCGTCGGCATACTTTGTCTACTTACCAGCACGAATTTACTCCTTACAATCCAAAGAATGAAACCCTCAAGATACCCTAATGGATTTAGAAACAAAACAAAAAAAAGTTTAACATTATATTGTTCTTTGAAATTTACAGGAATGCTCACAGTTTTGGTCCGAATCCTTCCTTGTCACACAGCTCCTCCGCCTGCGCCACAACATCGACTCCATACACATTCGCTTGCACATCAGCGTCGGCCCAGCGATCCGGGACCTTGCCCTTGCCCTCCTTGAGAGCCGCAAACGCCTTGTCACGCTCCTCCTTGGCCTTACCCGCACCCAGATGCATCTGGCGCCCGCTCTCGGCCGCGAGTTCCACCAGCGCCTCAGCCCTCGGCTTCCGCAGCTTCTCGTACAAGCGCAGTGCGCGCTCAATGGTTTCGGGCTTGCCGTCTGCGATGCGCTTGGGCGATAGGACGACACCGAGGACGGCACCGTCTTCAATGGCTTGCGCGGCACCCTGAGCCATGTGCGGGAGCGTCGGGTGGCATGCATCGCCTACCAGGGCAGTTGGGCCGTGGACCCACGTTGTCAACGGGTCGTGGACTCTGAGCTTCCACTCGACGACCTCGCCTTCGGGCACCAAGTTCAGCATGCGGTGGATCATGGGGCAAAAGTCGCCGTAGACGCCCAGCATGGCTTTCTTGCTGCCCCTTGTCGTGTACTGTGCGTCTGGGGCGCCGGCAAAGTTTGTGTCTGGCTGCGCGGTCGAGATGTTGTAGATTTGCTTGTTGTGGATCGGGTATGCGATGATGTGTTTCTTCTCGCCAATCCAGCGTGTCACTGTGTCTGAATCGATGAGCTTGAGTAGCTCCGGGTCGTGCTCCATTTGCGAGCGGTTCAGCATGATGCGGTAGGCGGCTTGGCCAGAGTCGCGGGCAGAGCCTGTGTGTCCGAGTTCCTTGAGCATGGCGACTCGAGTGTTGCTCTTGACTCCGTCGGCGCCGAGGAGAATGTCGCATTCGACCTGGTAGGGCTCGAGATTGCCTTGAGATGGAGTAACTGTGAATTTGGGCTTGGGGCCGAAGCGAAAGTCGGACAATGTGCAGCCCAGCTTGAATGTGATGCCACTCTCCTTCTTGCAACCTTCGAATAGACCGTTTGCAAGACTGGCTCGGTGGCCAACCATGTGTGGGTATCCGTACTTTTCCTTGACGTATCCTAGATCTACAAATCCCAGCTCCTTGTCTGTTGAACCTTCCCTAATGGATGTGTTTGCGCATACGACGGCTTCGTCGCGGATTGGGCCCCAGCAACCTAACCGGTCAAGGATGCGGGCCATGTTGGGTGCTAGTTGAATTCCTGCGCCTACGAAGCCCATGACTGGGGCATTTTCATATATCATGATGTTCTTATGGCCGGCTTTTGCAAGGGCGAGAGCCGCGGCAAGGCCGCCCATACCTGAGATACTATTAGTGGATGCACTCGGAAGGTGGGAATATGGATTGAAGGAGCATACCCGCGCCAACAATGGCTATCCTCGTTTGCTCCGCCATATCTTTTGCTTTGGATAAGTTCAGCTTGGACGCTGCGTATTTGGTTTTATAGTAACGGTCCACTCGGGGAAAATGGTTGATGCGGCGGCAAAGTTTTGTGTTGTTGACGATATTATGGCTGACTTGTTGAACTCCAACTTTACCAATATATCATACGAGGTATCTCTAAGTCTGTATGTACTGCACAATTCGAGTTATACCCCACAAAACCCCACAGCTTGTAAGGTATGGCCAGCAAGTAATATGTAAAGAAATGCCGGATGATGTCTTAGCCGGAGCTGTTGCTTCTTTTTGAGTTTATTGGACCCAGTGCGAAATGTCACACAAGATTGGTCTATGATTGGGCGGAGTCGGTCGGTAATTATATAAGTTCCTACGCAACAGATATCCGCCTGGCTCGAGTCCATCCGAGTATGTGTATTGCGGGTTGTTGTGGAAGCCAGCCAACAGTCCATCCGCCCCCCACTGTAGGCGGGGCTACGCTTAGGCTACTATCTCTTGTGCCTTGCCCCACCGCCGACGCCGGGAATGCCGTCCCCACGGAGAGACGGAACTGGGAACCACATATCACACAATCGGCCCGACACGACTGTGTGTCTACGACCACATAGTAGCATCCTGCTCTACAGGGTGTAGCATACCTGTGTAGACACTAGTCAATGGCCAGACTCCTAGGATCACAGCATGTGTTTATGGAACAATTCGGATTGAGCTGTTGCATTATAAGATCGGAGAATAGACGTCCGTAGTTCACATCGCCTAACAGTCCAATTTACCATTCAAGACGGCTGACGTCCGCGACATGAACGTACCAGTTAGATGCCAGCTAGCTGAATTCAAGCTCATCAGCCCGTGTGGCTGTCTCGTTAAGAGCACACCGACATCAGTTGTACGGGTATGCAATGAGGGGCCGGATGCCCCGCGCTAATGTTTGATGCGGAATGTGGGGACATTTCTCCTGTCAATCCAGACAACACCATCACTCCAACCATTGCATGACGAGCCAGTACTAAGCCAGTCAGCCGTCGTCTTTATTCTAGTCATCATTGACTGGTGTCTTGTGGAACACGCTCTCGAGAAGCCCCAACCTCAGACGACTGGGAAGAGCGTTCATCCGGCAGTTGCGTCGAGGCTAGCTGGAACTCCTGCTGACAGTTGAGACGTCGATTGCGTGGATTTCGGAGCCAGATTTAACACCTTGAACCATTTTCCATATCGTGTGCCGCGGACTGCATAGCCGTGCTGACCGCTGTACCCAATACGCAATAAGAAAGCACTTTGCCTGTGCTCTGCAAAACCAATACCGCACAGACATGGCCGAGCGACGAAGCTCTTTTGATCAAGCCTCGGCTGGCTTTCGGGCCCATTTGCCAGATCTATCCAGTCCGCGCTTCATCACAGCTGCCAAACAAGACATATACCAATATGTCCAGTCAATGCAAGACAACCGTGCTCCGCCGTGGTTGTACGACTTGACAAAGGTATGGGAAAAGCTGTTGGAAGAGCCCTACACAGGTGTTACCAACGATGGCAAAGTACGACCGGGTCTTTTCAAGGCCCAAGATGAAGGTGCCAATGTTCAGGCTGCGTTCGAAAAAGTAGGAGAACTTTTAGAAGGCTTGGATGATGAGAAGAGAAACAAATTAGTGTATCCGATCAACGCGAGAGAATGGCGGGCATGGAGCAACCCAGAGTTTCTACTGAGGCCATTTGGACTAAGGCTCGAGGAAGGTAAGAAGGCCTTTAGGTCAAAGTTCCGATACCGTACTAATATTAGCAGTGCCGGAAAGTACTGCACAGTCAATCCTCGCCGTAGTCGAGGCGTCCTTGTCGCCAGAAGGCTACCAAAAGGCATTATCTGCTATGCGCATCAATCATTTCCTAGGAGAAGTCGTCAAGCTCCCCAACATCCTGAATAAGTACTCGTACAACTTCCTCTTGTTTGGGATGCCCTCTGCATCCGCATCTTCACCATGGGGCTGGCTCCTTTACGGCCACCACCTCGATATCGCATGCTTCTTCAAGGGGCCTCAGGTCGTCATTACTCCCTCTTTTACCGGCGCAGAACCAAACATCATCGATCAAGGCGAATGGAAAGGAACCCAGATCCTTCATAAGGAAGGCAATCTCGGTTTGAAGCTGATGCAGAGCTTGAGTGCAGAGGAGCAGCAAATAGCTCAGGTCTTCAAGAAGATGAGGGATGAGGGCATGAAGCAAGTTTACGGCAACTCCAACAACGATGAGAGCAAGCGTGACGAACTCATCACTGACACGTGGGGCCCAGATGACCAGCGTCATCGCTGTGGCGCCTTTCGAGACAACCGGGTTGTTCCTTACGAGGGTATTTTAGTCTCTTCGCTCAACCCCACTCAACAGGACATCATCTTGGCCATTTGTCACGAGTTCTTGCTTTACCATCCATCCAACGCCCGTGAGCTCAAGCTCAAGCAGATCAAGCAGCATCTTGACGAAACGTACTTTTGCTGGATCGGTGGCTTCAGTGATGATGACGCGTTTTACTTCCGGATCCAAAGCCCGGTTATCCTCGTGGAATTCGATCATCATTCCGGAGTCTTCTTAACAAACAAGGAGCCGGCCAAGTACCATACACATACTATTGTGCGGACACCTAATGCGGGAGATTACGGTCAGGCCATTAGGGATAACCATGAAAAATTAGAGTAGCTTGTTTGTGCTGATACCGGGACCCGAGTCAATCAGAGACAGCGGTCAAAAAGGACAAAATAGTGTTGTATGCCGTGTTAGAGTTCGTCAGCTGCCATTCTCCGAATTCGTCCGAACGTGATATCTGCATCTTCTACTCAATTCCTCCGCTGGAATTTTTACATTCTACGAGAACAAATAGCATGTGCAAAGGAACACGGAAAACAGGACAGTTCAGTTCACAGGAATCGTCTGCCACAAGTCATGCACTAAAATATACTGGAGTCTCCGCGGGAGAGGAACAGGCAGGCGAATCCTTCGTTCCTGACATGATGTGGGTCCAACTACAACACCATAACCAATGGTTGGCCTACCTGTGCCGGGATATCCCCAAGCGGCTTGACTGCTGGGCGCAGCTAGCCTCGAAAGAAAACACACCTCTTATCGACTTCTACTTGTGGTAACCCCCCGGGAGGGGATCATAACGCGGCTGTTTGCACCCGCAGCAAGATTGACAGAAACTCATGCAGGGCAGAGGGGATAGAACCATGCCATGGCTCGTATACGATATTTACGAAACATGCGGGATTTGACATTGGATGCCTTGGTGGCAGTTTAATCTCTTTTCTTACTCAGTGGAGATTGAGAGATAGATGATCCTTTTAAACCCACTTGGCTCCCCGCCCTTGCCACGCTGATACCCCAGGTACACCTTTTCAAAGGACATTTTCGTTCCTTCGATTTGATATTCACGGTCGTTTCCTCCACCACATTCGTTCATCCATTATAATATACTTAGCGTACTTAATTCGTAATCATGTCTTTCAGCATCCGCAACACCATTGCGTTGGGCGCCTTATCCACTCTCGCCGCAGCACAAACCACGCCACCCAAGCTGGACGCAGCCTGCGCCGATGTAGTCATCTTCATGGCTCGCGGTAACGACGCTCCTTATCATGATGGACGCACCTTTCCGTTTGTCGAGGCAACCTGTGGCAAGTTGATTGCTGAGGGCAAAACGTGCGATCACATTGATATCCAGTTCGACGTTACCCTCGGTGGAGACTACTGCGCTCAGGTGGCAGAGGGAGCCCGCAATGGTATCTCTCAGATTACCGCCTTCAACCAAAAGTGTCCTTGCACACACATAGTGGTTAATGGCTACTCTCAGGGAGCCCATGTTGCTGGCGATGTCTTGGGTGGACCAGGTGGATGCTCCTTTGTGAGTAACGGTCTTGACAGCACTTCTCCTGCTGGCCAAGCCAGTAAGTATACACAGATTCGACTTTATTTTGGTTCAGTGCTGACTTGGAAAAGTTGCTGCGGCTCTGTTGTGGGGAGACGTCATGCACACCGCGAACCAACCTTACAATGTCCTCGACGGTGCCAGCAAGCAAAAGAACCCACGCGCTTCTGGAGACCTCGCCCGTTTGAACCGTTATGCTCCTGTCCTTCGTGCCTACTGCGCAGTTGGAGACCCAGTTTGCGCTGGAGGCGAAATCGTTGCTGATCACCTGAACTACTTTGAGCTCTACACTGACGAGGCTTCGTCCTGGGTCGTGTCCAAGATCAACGGCGTTGCACCTCTGCCTTCTTGCGCTGCGTCCAGCTCTTCCAGCTCGTCCTCCGTGCCCACTCCTACAGCCAGTGTGTCCGCTTCATCTGTCGTACAGACCCCTACCGCCAGCGTGTCGGCTTCGTCTTTCGTACAAACTCCTACTGCTAGTGTGTCCGCTTCATCTGTCCTCGCACCTATTGAGTCCTCGAGTGCGGGTGAGCCCTACGTTCCTACCGCCTCCGAGGATGCAGAGACACCATACCCTACTTCTCCAGCAACTGTTTCTCCATTTCCTCCACCAGTCGACTACGATGCGTGTGTCCTCCAGGTTCACGTAGAGTACGTCTACGCCCACATGTAAGTGTGCGAGAGATGGAACGTGGAAAACAGCGGTTGTTAGCCGTAGTGGTTGTCACAAAAAGCATGTACCTACATAATACGTCGTTTTAAGTTCCGAGGAAATAGTTTGGTTCTACGAATAGACTACTTATGTGACTTGATCTGGTTGGTGGCTGCGCATAAAATGCCGAGTATGATGTTATCGTGTCGTATATTGTTTGATCGGAGATTATGTGAACCAAACCAAACATGGTTCATATTGATTACTGGATTTGCTGGTAACACACAAACATTACGTGAAAAAGCACTGTCATCTTAGAGTAAAGGTGGAAATGGAGATTTTGGAAGATACGAGAAGACCAGTTGCAAGCTTGAAATTTATTATGTGAAGAGGGTAACAAACCTATCTAGACGAATTGGGGTATCATATACCCAGAGCAAAGAAATAAAAAAAACGGGATGTAGATATCACCGATGCAAAGATAAACGTCAAAGCCGTTAAAGCGGTTGACATCGGCATGCCGTAAAGCGATCCCTGCACCCCCGCGGACTTTGGGAACCTCACATCATCTTTACACCCGAGCCCGGCTCTACTGCGCTCTCTCCACGGCCCAAAAAGAAGTACAGTATGCAGCATAGCAGCATCTGGGAGTGACAGACGACTATACATCGTGACAGGCGTCGCACCCAAACTCTCTAAACCTTACTACCAGCACGCATTCCAACACCATGTACCGAATACGACCGCCGTTGCACACCCTTAGCGCAACCCGCGCACCTCTCCCACTCCCACTCCCAACCCAACCCCGCTTCTACCAGCAACTCCCCTTTGGCCGGGGCGCTCGCCCGCAATACAAGCGCTTCTCTAGTCCCTCAGGCGGGCTGTCCGGGCTGCTCTACCGCTGGGCGGCGCGCCCAACCTTCTACCGCGACATTGGCATTCTCAGCGCCGGCGCGGGCACAATCTACCTGTACAACCTAGAAGAAGTGCCCGTGTCGGGCCGCCGCCGCTTCAACATTATACCGCCGCAGCTCGAAGAAGCCATTGGGCGCTCGTCGGTCGACCAGGTGCGCGAGCAGTACGCTGGGCGCATTCTACCCGACAACGATGTGCGCGTGCGCAAGATCAAGAAGGTGCTGCAGCGCTTGCTGCCGTATGCTGAGGGCGAGGGCTTGCAAGGTCTCGATTGGGAGGTTACAGTTATAGAGAGTCCGGAACAGAATGCGTTTGTGGCGCCGGGAGGCAAGGTGTTTGTGTTTACGGGCATCCTGCCGTTGTGTCGGGATGAAGATGGGATTGCGGCTGTCTTGGGACATGAGATTGCGCATGTGGTTGCGCATCATACTGCGTATGCGTTTATTTTTTTTTATTTTTTTCTCCTCTTTCTTCCCCTTTCATACACACACACACACACACACACACACAAAACTGGAACTTTTTGGCTAACACACAAGAAAAATAGAGAACGCATGTCTCAAGCTCCCCTCGTTCTCCTCGGCGTCCTCGCACTCTCCCTCTTCGACATATCCTTTTACTCGGGTAAACTCCTCATCGACCTCTTTCTCTCCATGCCGGCCTCGCGCAAGCACGAGGCGGAAGCCGATTTTATCGGCCTCATGATGATGGCCCAGGGCTGCTACAGCCCGCAGGCTGCCATGGACTTTTGGGCCCGCATGGAGAAGATGGGCGGTGGTGAGCCCCCGCAGATACTGAGTACGCATCCGAGCCATCATAATCGCGAGGAGAAGATTCGTGAGTGGTTGCCCAAGGCGATGGAGAAGGCCGAGGCGAGTGAGTGTTATGGCACGAGTCAGTATGGTATGTGTTTTGATCTCGTTTCACGTTATTGGCGTGTGTTTTTCTCTTTTCTTCTTTCCTGACTTTTTTTCTGTTGTCGAGAAATATCAGACTAACGATAAGTTCCAGCAAATCAATTCAGCTCGGCATTCAGTAGCCTTGGAAGGTGGTAATACGGCCGTTTGCCGTGCTTTGTATTTTAATGAGTGACTGTACAAAACATTAACGATTAACTAATGATGATAATGATCTACGGTAGACGATGCCCTGTCGCCCAGATTCGCCGCCCCTGCACCTACAAATTCAAGCTTCTGCCAGGTATCATAATGTCATAATTTTTTGTACTCTATCCCGGTCGGGTCGCCAGTCTGGACCCGCGTCAGCTTTTGGACGTCGGGCGGTTTTGCTAAATCGACACTCAATCTACTTATGGCATCGTCTTCCTCTGCCACGGCCGACAAGTCGTCGTCGTACCGATGCCTGACCACGTCCTCGCCCACATCGATCTCCTTGTCTACAATTACGCTTATATTAATGTCGATGCCCTTGCCCATTTCCTTTTCCCGCACCGTCAGCCTCTTTTCGTCTTCAAAGTCAAAGCTCTTGCGATTCTTCTCCAAATCCTCGCTTCCGTCTCTGCTCACTAAATCTTGCTCTGCCCAGCTCTCAGGGTACCCAGGTAGCGTGGGCATCTCCGAGGGTGTGGCGGGTCGACTACACGGATGGAAAACGTGCTTGAACAGGGGATAGAGGCAGGGAAGAGAGGCTGCGAGGATGCTGACGTCGACTTCGATTTGCGACCAGACTGGAACCCAGGCCCAGCCCCTGAAACCATGTTAGTAACAGTAAATAACGCACACGACATGCAAGGCCTACCAGCTGTAATCGTTGTCCTGCCAGCCCTTTCCCGGTTTGATTGGTCTGCCAGCCATGATAATTTCACATAGCCGCATGGTGCTGGCAATAACAGGTATCAATCCGACAGAGAGGACGACTACCAGAGCCGCTACACCAATTGTTAGCTATGATTAGATACAGACCCAGCAATGGTAAACGTACTGCGTTGTCTACGATTGAACTTGAAGAGCCGTAGTAAGGGCAGGGGGAACATGAGAAGGACAATGTCGGTAGCGACGTTGATAGCGGCAGAGGTAATCATGAACTCAGACACGTCGATGCATCCTCCGTCATTGGCGTGCACAATGTCCCAAATGCGAGATATGGGTACACACAGAAAGAGCTGGGCCTGGGCAATGCGACTGTTAGCATAGGGTAGCAATGCGCTGTGCATTGGGCGAGTGCAAGCAACAAGAACGTACTGTGAATGAGGAGATGCCAAATGCAGTCATGAAGCCTGCGACTGTCCATACAGCAGGAGCCTGGACAATCCACGGTAAACCTTTTCTCCCATAGCCTATCCTATAGTATAGGGCAAGTATGCTCATCTTGACCGCCCTGATTTTTTTGAGTTAGGAGTTGGGCAGCGTGACAGACAGAAGATGCATACCAGTTTGCGACAAAGTATATGAGCATGTTGATCCACTGGTACTATTGGGCAGTCAGCAGTGTGCGTGATTGCAAGAGCGATGCGAAGCATACCATGAGCATGTGGTTGAACTGCTCGATGCGCAACTCGGTGGTATGGCGACCCTGGCCATGCTCGACTTGCAGTATGATGGTGACGGTCTGGGCAGCCCCAAGGACCGTGGCAATGGCAATGAAGACGTCGTCGAGGCCGAATCTCTTGACAATGCATGCACGTGTAAAGCAGCTAGACAGGGTTAGTATACAAAGTCATGCAGGATGGGTGGTGTATGTACCGGAGGGCGACAAACGTCACGGCAACGGTGTACATGGCGAGGCTGACTCTGGCCAGCAGCGGACCTTGGTCATGGCCGTTGGCAAAGACAATGTGGCCCATTGCGTGTAGGGTAGGATGGTGGGAGACGCAAGGCGAGGAGTTGGGACATGGGGTTGTGAATGGCGAGCAAGGGACAGGGACAGGAGAAGAAGGGAAAAGGCAAGAGGCGATCGGGCAGGCGTGCGATGGCGCCGATGGGGCCTATTTCAGATCTAACACAGATGTGAAGTCAGCAGGAAGGATGGCGACACTGGCAATGCACCATGTCGATCAGCGCGTTGCAAACGTTTCCGCCGCATGATTGACGCGGCGTTATTTGAAACGCCAGGACGAACTTCCAGAAGCAAGCGGTACTATAAAAACGCGAAGGAGGAGCCGTGCGGCCCGTGCGCCAGCCTCGAAATTTGAACGTGGTGAGTGACACTGGTGTGACGAGGCCTGTCGCAACGCCTCTCTTGAAACCATGTTTGGGCCGACGGCTCCCAATGACATTGCAGCCAGGCGCGTGTGAAGAACCCACGGCCTCAGGTGCCTGCAGCGGTAGAGTGTGTTGAGTGGCTCGACTGTTTCTTGCTAGTACATGGACAGTAGTCGTATAGCACGACAGGCCTTGGGACCGAGGGTTGGGCCGACAAATACGACGGATCATCCCGGCCCTACTTATTCATGTCGAGTCGAGTGCATCAAGAGCCTCTTGTACGTCTCAAGAAGGGCGGAGAAACAACGGAAATTTTGGCTCCCAGGTTCCAGGTCACGGGTGGGGCGCTCGCCTGGCAGCCGTTTGCGGATAACGAGTCCGTGGCTTACATAACCCACTGGTTGGGCTGGGCCTTTGGTGTCGAGCTTGCAAAGTGATAGTCTACTCATGGCGATTGTAGCATAAACGTCTGGCAACATGGGCTGATGTATGTAGTAGTCGGGTTTAGGGGTGCGAGGGCGGCAATGGTTTGTGCTAGTTGTGAATGCGGTGTGGGTGTTCGGCCTGGGCCGGCGGTGCAGCAGCCGTGCGCAGGCACTCAGGGCGACTGGTAGGCTGTGGCATGCCTGGGGGGATGGAGGTTGTTTTACTCTTAGTTTCCAATGAATGAGGGAACAGAACAGGTTGGATGGGAGAAGGGTAGACGGAATAAGTAAAGTAATGCCTGGGTGGACGAGGGAGCGAGGGCGAGGGGCTTGGGAGCGGCTGATCGGTGCGGGGGAAGCCTGATCAGGCTACGGGTGGCTGGCCTAGTGCTGGCAGTCCACACGTTGTACTCACGTCACCTTGGAAGCATCAAAAAAGCACTGCATTCTTCATGGAGCGGAGCGAAGGGCAAAGGGGGGAGGAGGGGGAGGGGGAGCCATGTGGCGCTGCACAAGATGCTCAACAATCTTCTGACAAGAAGCATTCACTGCGCTCGCCAGCACCGTCACTCCTACCACTGCTAGCACTACTACATACTGTGTACTGACTACTGTACTCCCACCACCATCACCCTGGGCCCAGACGCTGCCGCCCGCCCCCAAGCCCCTCGCAGCATTCGCCTATCTCAAGCTCCGTCGTGCCCGTGTTAAACCGCGCCCCGCGCCCCTCGCCCAACTCTCCGCCGGCTCTTCGACTGGCGGTTGCACCACATCTCTCTGGTGTCTTGTTGCTCGCATCGGTGCAGGTGCTACCGCATCCACGGCAGGTGCTTCCCTCGCATACTGCCTGCCCGGTACAGTAAGTAGTAGCCGCGCCTTCCCCTCATGCCACTGCCAATGCCAACACCCCTGCTGTACGTACTGCAACCTGCAGTAAGCCCCTCTTGCGCCACTGCATGAGTGTGAGCACGCTCAATTCCTCGCCTGTAACCGCTAACTGTCTTGTTCTCCCAACAGTCTCCAACTACCCCCACCAGAGGCCGCGCCTGGTCCGCCTGGTCCGCCACACGACCACTCCTACCTATATTCACTCCCTTGAATATCCCCTCGCCCCGAGGTCGCCATGGCCACTCACGCGACCATCACCTTCTCCCAGCCGGGCGTCCGTCCTCCCGTCTATGTCACCTCCTCCCTCAGCGGCTGGACCCCGCTTGAGATGGACGTGGCCGACGACACGACCGCCTCGGGCGACCCCATCTTCACAAAGACATTTTCCAATGTGGACCAGGGGAGCTACCAGTACAAGGTCCGTCTTGGTCAAGACCACTGGATCTTGGACGAGTCAAAGCAAACGGGTATGGCTGAAAGCAGGCTCCCTCGGGTGCCCCGCTGACACACAGCAGCTACCGACGACCAAGGCATTCGCAACAATGTTATCCATGTCGAGCCCGCTGCTCCTGAGCCTTCCCAGAGCCCAGCGCCAGACAGTACACCTACGCAAGCAACCACATCAAGCGATCCGCCTGCAGCACCCTCTCATGAGGCTGCCTTGAAGCGGCTCGACAGCCGCAAAGACAGCACCATGGACCAGGACCTACTACCCATCCCATCAGCTAATCTGGAGCGTGATGCTAAACAAACAGGCGAGGTGGATTCGTCGACCAAGCCTGACGTGCTGGAACCGCCTCATGTGCCCATTGTTGTCATCGACAAGGTGGACACCGAACCTGCGTCTGCTGAGGACGCTACTGAGGACGCTACCGCTGCCCAACAGACTGCGCATGACACGAAGGCTGCTGACGCATTGCCCGACAAAGTCGAAACTGTACCTCAACACCACGTTGAGCCTGGCACAGGCGATGAGCAACCAGCACCATTATTGCACCATGAATCTTCCCAGGCCGACCCATCGCCCTTGCCGCCCTCCATGGACACGATTGACGAAGAGTCTACGCCTTCATCGGCCGATCACACTAGTTCTGGAGACGCCATGGACACCCCGTCGGAATTGGACGAGGGTGACGAGTTGAACTTGGTACCCTTGCTTAGCCACGAGACTAGTGTAGGCCACGAAAGCAACGGGCTTGCAAATGTACCCCTGTTTGCCCACGAAACAGAGACTGGAAACCATCATGCCAATCAAGTCCCGCTCTTGTCACATGAGTCCAATCTACCAGACGACGCCGCTGTTACGACCGACTCTGATGGAGGAGATGAACTAGACCGATTTCCATTACTGGCGCATGAAGGCAAATCCTCAGCGTACAAGGGAAGCGGGATTGTAGCCAAGGGTAATCATCTCGAGGACGAAGGATCACATCTTGATAAGCCTCATAGTAATCATGGAGATGATGGCGACGCGCCTCTCCTGCCTCACGAGCGCGAAGCGGAAACCGCTGATCATGCTGGCTC